ACTGCTGCTCAGAGGAACGGCATACGGATTGATAGGAACAGGGTTCGAGTCTTCTACGCGGTCAAAGCGCCCGTCTTCATAATATCGTCACTTAGGAATAGCAGAACACATGAAACGCAAATGTTTTCAAACATCAGTAAAAGAACAGGCGTAAGTTCTGCTAGGAGGGTATAAAGCCTACTACGACTGCCAGAAAAAAAGCCATAGCACTAATTTTGAACTTATCAGTTAGCAGTTTCGGTTCGTGGTACCAATATTAGCCTCGTTAAAGAGCGTCCAGTCTGATCTGCTTGTAAGTGCTCATAGAGGTTACAATAAATCCATCCCCAGAATAATCAACGCAAGGTGCTTTGAAGCTGGGTGGCTGCTGACCGCCTCTGTTATATTAAACTTTTATGTGTCATAAAGGTTCATGACTGACTTTTCGCTTCATGTGGCTGTGAGTCAGAGTGCCCCAGAATTACGGCTGTAACTTTCTGCTGAATGGTAGCTGTTTAAGCAACTGAGATATATTAAATCTCAAAGATCGTAAACCTTTAATCATAAAATTTTTTGAAGATGTTTTCAATAAGTGGCCGAAACGTGATTCTTTCGAGCCATCGTTGGCCTGACGAGGTACGACAGTTTTGGGAGCACTGGAATTTAAGATACTCTTATTTAAGAACCGTTTCCTTTCTCTACCGTATTCGCGATATGGACACGATGCTCACGATGACTAGTGAGATTCACAAATCGGAGTAACATGACAAAGCTATACGAAAGACTGCAAACGGCAGCATGAGATTTAGATGAATCCGGTATATTGGACATGACAGGTCACCCGTTTGAACCCAGCCCATGGATAACGTCAATTTAGCCAAAATCCATAGCGTTAGCAGAATATTTTATGTAGCTGTTTCCTCCATAGCCCGGAAATAACACAGGACTGTGAAAATGCACATGAATTATACGTTCATTACGAAACCTGGTCATTTGCATCACATCCGCGAAAAACCAATATAAGTTGCTTATAGTTCCGCACAA